AGACCCCTGCACTGGGCTAACTGCCCACACACACTCATAAGCAAGGACATCCTGGCCTTTTATAAACTACTTCTTCTAGATTGCCTTTGTATAATTATGATGTGTACCATTTAATGAGGCATACAGCAGGTAGGTATGGTTCTCTCCTTTTTAGATGAGGAAACTGAGGGTCAAAGATGCTAAGTAAATCTGTCCGAGATGATAAAACTAACGAGTTGTGGCCTAAGCCTTTAACCACAAAGCATGCCCCACTACCTCCCTACTTCAAATTGAATTCTCCTGAAAAAAATAACGGTGGGTGGAACACAGGCTCTTTGCTAGTCCTGCACCTGCCTCCTCCTCCCACAGAACAGGCCAGGGCCCAGCTCTGGATGTGCCCATCTCCTGGCCAGTATGGACGTCTCAGTCATGAGAGAGCATTAACACAGAACGGGAGAAGCACGGCATTGGGAGTCAGAAAGGTTGACCTAAGTTCCAATTATGGCTCCTGATTTAGGAAATAATATTGGAGTCATTATTCCCTGTCCTTGAGCATAGAGAATGCGACCCAGCTGGAGCTGGACTGCCAAGGACACATCAACTGGGCCCTGAGATATAAAAACAATAGCTAGGACAATCTTGGAAAATATCTTTTAGGGAACCTTTCACAGAAGCCAATCAAACAGCACACACAAGACTTTCCACTCTTTTCTATTAGCGTTTCCAAAAAAAACCCATTGCTGTCAAGTAGACTCTGACTCATAGCGACCCTAAAGCACAGAGTAGAACTGCCCCAGAGGGTTTCCAAGGAGCACCTGGTGGATTTGAACTGCCGATCTCTTTGTTAGCAGCCAAACTCTTAACCACTACGCCACCAGCATTTCCCTATTAGCCTTTAGTAAACAGAAAATTTGTTGGGGCAATGAGGACCCTCCTGACTTGTTACTGAAGCCTGTACCAATAATTGTTAAGAAAGAAAAACTGCAGGGTCACAGTTTCTAGCCAATCTGTACAAAGGTGAATTTTTCAATGGTTTTGCCCATTTGTAATGTTAATATGTACTCATGATTCTGTAACATTCCTTGGACTCAGGCAGACGTGGCTCTGGCAGCATGCTTGTCCATTTCCCCATTCTTGCCTATTCTGTAATATTTCCTTGGACTCAGGGAGACATGACTCTGGTAGCATGCTTGTCTGCTTCCCACTTTTGTCTGTTTTATAATCCTCGGATTTGGGCAGATGTGGCTCTGGCAGCATGCTTGTCCACTTCCCACTTTTGTCTCTTTGAATGTAGGCTGAATAAAACTTTCTTTTTTGCTTTACTAAACTTTGCTGATGTTTTTCTCCCTACAAGACTCATCATAACGTTCCAACAGGAAACCTTTCTGGATTCAGTCTTTTCATCTGTGATGGTACAATAATGATGATAATTATGCCTGTCTGACTTCTATAGTGAGGATCAACAGAGATCATGTACCTGAAAGCATGTTACAACTGGAAAGGTAAGGAGGTGTTTAGGAGTACTATTGCGAATTTATCCTCTCTTCATCAGAGCACCCAGTAGCCATTTAGCAGCACCTCAGAACCCTTTGGGGGCACTAAGAAATATAGATGCTTGAGCCTCACCCCAGAGATGCTTTGGAGGTGGTGAGGAGGGCATCTGGAATCTGTATTTTCCAAAGCTTTCTGAATAAAAGCACCAGTATGCAAGGAGACAGGCCCAATGATGTTTAGTGTAGTGCTGTGGTGGGCCCAACCTGACTAAGGAAACAATCAACTGTGGTATGTCCTGACGGATCTATTCCCATCAAACCAGATGCACGTTCAAGACAATCCCTCTTGAGAAAAGGGACTTGCAAAGTATGGTCCCACTGTTATGAAAACAAAGTATGACAACAAAGCCTCCGTTCCATATTGTGTTGGGGACATTTTTATGCTCAAGGAAAACGGTATGAGTGGTAACACCCCAAGCTGGAAACATGGCTTACCTCAGGGTGGGGGAGATTAGTAAATGTTTCTTTATAAATCTTTGTACTCTATCAATAGTTGTGGCAAGCATTTATAATTTTTGAAGTGAAATTAGTAAGACCAAAAAAAAAAAAAATTCCTTAGTGATTCTGAGGTATCTCCCGGTTTGCGACACCTGGCTTGATGGCCATGAGTGTGGGCTCTGACATAAGACACCCAAGCATCAATCCCCGCTCTGCCCACTTCTTTGCCACATGTTAATCATACATGGCTAAGAAATGAGGTTTTGGGGAAAAATTAAATAAGCATATATAAAGTATTCACCATACTACCTAGCACATATCAAGAGCTCAATAAGCAGGAGTTACTGTTATCACCAACATCTTTATTACCTTCACTCCTAAAATGAAGGGATGTACATGAGGGGAGCAGTGAGGTGCTCTCTGAAAGAATGTGAAAATAGGAAAAATAATAACTAATAATACAATACTAAACAGCTAACATATTTTGAGAATTTCTTATATGCCAGGCACTGCGTTAAGTCTCTTACATGTATCACCTCACTGAATTCTCACACCTCTGTGAAGGAATCATTATTCCCACGTAACTGCCCGTCAAGTGATTCTTAACATCAGGCAAGTTTGGGGGGATGCTGGGCTATAGAAGTTTCTCAAACTGCAATGAATTCACCTGTGGTGTTTTGCAAAAAATGCAGTTTCCTTGGTCTCAAGCTCCCTGAACATACTGAATCAGAACTGAGAGTAGGGGTAGGGGCAAAAATATGAAAAAAAAAAAAAAAAAAAAATTCCTGGGTTTTTATGATTACTCCAAAGTCTGAGAACCACTGTCTTGGACATAAACACAAAGCCGTGCTGACTGTGGGACAGAGGCCTCCACACTTCAAAAGAACCTGCATGCTGGCAGGGGAAGGAGGAATGAGAAGTGACGAATGGGGAAAGTCAAGGACATACTTGTTGCTCCTGAATTTTTTCTCAAATGCTCAGATCTCTGAATCTTCCTGGGACCCACTATTGCTCTGGTTCTATGAGAAAGTGTTCCCAGAAGAAACACTGCTTTTTGAGTGTCACAGGAACACTTGATCTTCTGGAATGCAAAGGAGAGCATCTTGCCTATCTTTTCCCTGCAGTAAAAGTCACAGCTGTATAAGAGGCACCAACCCTGGGCCAGCTCCTGCTTCATGCTGCCAAGTGGGGCAGTCTCTACCTCATCCTGCTGCAGGGCCATGAGCAATGGAGCCCCTTCAGGTCTTTGCTCAAATATCACCTAGACACTCCACCTAAAATTGCCACCCTCCCAACACTTCCCCTCCCCTTCCCAGCTTGATCATTCTCTTAAGCATTTAGCACTAATTTAGTATATGTTTTTCTTATTTACTCTGATCACTGTCTCCCCCACCAGAATGTTAAGCTCCACTATGGTATAAACTCTTGTCTGTTATGTATGCTGCTGTTTCCCCAGGACCCAAAACAGTGCCTGCCACATAGGTGGCACTTAGTAAGTACCATACAAATGAATGAATGAATCTCTTTGATCCTCATGGCAACCCTGTGAACATACGGTTTCACTCATTCCACTCTTATTCTGCCAGGCCCTGTGCCACATGTAGGCGTAAGAGGTGACATGAGATACAAGGCCCCTCTCCTCGTGGAGTTCACAGGGTCTTGAAGTGGGCAGAAAATAGGCAAATAAACACATGTATGCAATAATAACAAACTCTGGTAAGGCTATGAACAAAAAGTCCAAAGTACTCCACACCAGGTGCTTCGCATGTGTCATCTCAGTTTCTTCTCACAGTGGCATCCTGAGGCAGGAGTTACAGAGGGAATCAAAACCCAGAGAGACACTTTCTGACATCGCCAGTTCAAACCCAGATCTGCCTCACTCCAAACCCAGTCACTTAGCTCTCCCTTACATCTGATCCCTAGAGAGGAAGTTAACAGTTATACCATTAGGTTCAGATGGCCGGTGGCACAGTCATAAGATGTCAACTGCCAACCAGGTTAGCTCAGGGTTACAGCCTCCTGTAACAACTCTCACTTATCCAGAACTCCTGAGGGTACAGGTTCTGTGCTAAACCATTCATATGTACTATGTCCTACGTGAAGGATGTCCTTGTCATCATTCCTATTTTACAGACCAACATACCCGAGACTCCAAGCAGTTAAGTCACTTGCTCAAATAACTCTTGTCTCACTTAAACACTATGATTAACTTCATTTCATGCTCACTTTGGCTGGAGTCTGGGAAGGCCTCTGAGCACTAGATGGCAGGACTGACTGATGCTCTGTTCTCTGACCAAGAGATACCCACGCTCAGCCTTACAGACAAGGAAATCCACCCTACAGGTCTAGCCTCACGCTTTAGAAAACAACGATATGAGACGCTGCCAGGGCAAATGACTGTACTTTTTAGCACTGGAAAGTGTGTGGGGGTGGGGAGGAGAGAAAGCTAGTAGTAACAAGTTCTAGCGATGCTGTATACCAGACCTCGTGCTAAATTCTCTAACAGGCACTATCTTATTGAATCAAAATGACCACACCAGAAGGAATTACTGAAGGGTAGTAACTTGCCCATGGTTGCACAGCAGCGAAGACAGGGTTAAAATCCATGTCTGCTCTGGCTTCAGAATTTATGCCAAAGGATAGAAGTATCGTCTGGGTATCCCAGGCTGAGCTGTTGGGAGGCTCTAGACAGACTGGTCGAGCTGGTGACCCCACCGCTGGCTCCGTACACGCGCACGGGCCAGTTCCCCAGAGGACGGAGAGCGCGTGAACAGACAGTGGCGAGTACGATCAGCGGGGCATCAGAGATCTGGTTCCCTGTCCCCGAGCCCCAGCAGCTGCCGGCCGCGGCGTCGAGCCAAGCCGAGTAGACCCGTCCGGCAAACAGCAGCATGGTGAGAGGCCGCAAGACGGCCAGTGCTGGTCACCAGCGCCAACCCAGAGGCCAGGGGCGCGCCCGGCTGCCGCCAGCCCCACAAGGCGCCGCGCTCGCAGTGGGGCCGACGCACCGCCTTACTTCCGATTAGTTACTTCCGGTGGACCCGGGCACCGCCATGGCAGGCCTGGAACAGGAAGAGGGAAGCAACAGAGACGACTGGGGCGTCGCCATTACAGGTCGGGGCCGGAAGAAGAGGGAGGGCGCCACCATGACGTGCTGGGCTTGAAAGGAAAGGCTGCTTGCCCCGTCTCTGACCGGAAAAAACGAGAAAGCTCGGACTGGGCGCCGCCATGACAACTTGATACCGGAAAAGGCGGGTCGCCCCTCCCTGATAGCACACCGTCACCTGCCTGGAGATGTGAGTAGCGGGAGCGCCCACCGTGTACCTGCGCCGCGTTCTTTTTCTTCCCCAGAGACCTGGACATTGTTCTGCACCCCATGAAGAAGCACTGATCTCCCTGTTCCCTTTAAGATCCGACTCAGCGTTCAGCGTAGTCCCTCATAAGCCCCACCCCCCTGGGTGTCCAGGCCCCGCTCTCTGAGGGTTCAGGCTCCGCCCCTCGTCCTCCTCCTACGAGAGGTTTTCCAGGTCCCGACACTTACTAGCCAAGCTCTACCCCCAGGACCCCAAACCTGGGGTAGGCCCGTCACAGTGCACCTTCAGGACTCCAGACTTATCTCAAGACCCCTAGAGCTGCTGGGTCTGTCCTCAGAACCCCAAGTTCCTCCCCAAGGATTAGGAGACTATACCTTTTGAATAGTCTAAATCTGCCCAGGCCCGCAGAGCCTACACTAGGACCCACACTAGTTCCTAGACCCCTAGGTTCCCAGACTTTGTCTGCAAGAACCCCAAGAGCTCCCTGGATCTATTGCAGGGCCCTATCCTCACTCCGGGCTTCCAGATCGTGTTCCCAGGATACACAGATACACCCAGGATCCCTACACCTACCCCAGGGCCTCAAGTCTACTGCCAGAACCCCTGGCCCCAGGCCTCATCCCTAATACTCTCTGGCCAAGAAACCCTTCCCCAGGACGCAGTATACCACTTCTTGGACCCCTAGTCCTCACTTTCAGGACCTACAAACTCATTTAGGGCTCCCAGACCCTCTTCCTAAAACTTTAGGTCTTATTTTGAGGGCTCCAAGCCTTTTCTCCATGACCTCCAGATGTACTCCAAGATGCCCCTGATACCACTTTGGACTCAAGAGTCTTCTTCCAGGACCCCAAGGCCTGCCGTAGAACAACCAGGCCTAGTTTTAGGGCCTCCACTATCTCCTCAGGAGTCACCAGTCTGCTCCATGACCCCCAGGGCTTAGGCCACACCTTTACACCTCTGTGGCCACATCCCAGGATCCTTTGGACTTTAGATCTACCCAGGACCCCTAGTCCTATTTGAGACCCAGATCAGGCCTCCTTCTGTCCTCTTCCCAGAATGATCCTCAGACTTCTCTGCCCTACAGGCAGGCGGCCCTGGAGGTCACTGCCCGCTACTGTGGTCAGGAGCTGGAGCGGTATGGCCAGTGCGTGGCGGCCAAGCCTGAGTCATGGCAGCGGGACTGCCACCACCTCAAGATGAGCATTGCTCGCTGTACATCCTCACAGTGAGTGTTGGGCAGGGTGGGGGTGGGCAGTGGAGTGGGGTCTCTTAGGTTCTAAAACACCCTTCCCCCATAGCCCAATCATCCGCCAGATCCGCCAGGTCTGTGCTGAGCCTTTCCTGGCCTTTGAGGAATGTCTGCGACAGAATGAGGCGGCTGTGGGCAACTGCACGGAGTATGTACGCCGCTTCCTGCAGTGTGCTGAGCAGGTGCAGCCTCCACGTTCACCCACGACTGTGGAGGTAAGGGGAGGCTCACCCGTTCATCCAGGTCCCCCTGTCCTCCCACTCGACTGCCCTGCTCTGCCCCCTTCATCCTTACTCCCTTCACCCTGCAGGCCTTCACTGTATACCAGAACACTATCATTTCTTGCCATGCCTAGCCCGTGCCACCATCCTCCACCAGGATACCTGCCCCAGCCCTCTTCTTGGCCTCCCTGACTCCCCTCTTGTCTTCACACAGTGGCCAGAGCAGGTATTTAATAACTGAAATCTCGTCATTGTGTCTTTGCTTAAAGCTCTCCAGTGGCTTCCCATTGACACTTAGAACAAAATCCCTTGTCCTTGCTGGGTTCTGTATGGTCTGCCCAGGCTGACCTCATCCACTCCTGCCTTTTACGCATGCTCACTCACTCACATGCTCTCTTCCTTTCTCACTGCCCCTCAGCTATACTGGCTAGTGGCTGAGGTGGGAGGCTGGAAAGGGAGAGCAAAAGTCTTACTCTTTAGTGTATACAATATATAATCATTTACAGTATATCTGTGATACAAAAATTTCATGGATGGGGGAAATTAGGAAAAAAAGATTGAGAAACACTGGTTTAGATATTTACTGCCTCTCTCACTGGACTGTAGGCTCCAAAGGCAGGGGTCACATCTTTCTCCAAACAAAGAAAAACAAAACCCTTTGCTGTTGAGTCCAGTCGATTCCAGCCCCCTCTAAATTCTCTCTCACCTGCTTCTCTCTGCAGCCCCATCTTCTCTTACCACCAAACCAGCTTTTTCCCAGACCTCCATGTTCTAGCGTGTCCTTTTCAGTCTGTTCTCTGTGATGGTCCCAGAGTGCACTCAGAGGAAATCTAACCATGTGCTGCCCCTACTTAAAAACGGTTGCATGGCTCCTCCAACCAGGCTCAAGTTTAAACTGCACAGCCCACAGGGCCTTGCAGGATGTCAGCCCTGCAGGTCTCTGGCCCCACCTCTCTCTACTTCCACTTAAAGCTCTAGGTTCCAGCCTCAGTGAACGCTCAGTTACTCAGTGCTTGTCTTTCCTATTACAAGGCTTTTCTTTTTTTTTTTAATTGTCCTTCAGGTGAAGGCTTACAAAACAAATAGTTTCTCATGAAACAGAAGTACACATGTTGTTTTATGACACTGGTTAACAACCCCACAACATGTCAACCCTCTAACTTCTCAACCTTTTTTTTTTTTGGTGAAAATACACATAGCCAAAGATACACCATTTCAAAAATTTCTAGATGCACAGTTCAGTGACATTGACTACGCTCTTCGAATTGTGCTGTTATTCTCACTTAAGATGAAGGCTTACAGAACAAAATAATTTCTCATTTAACAGTTACTACAAATGTTGCCCTGTGACAATGGTTAACAATCTCACAACACATCAACAATATCCTTACTCAACCTTGGGTTCCCTATCACCAGCTTCCTTGTCCCCTTCTGCTTTCTGGCCCTTGTCACTGGATTCCTGTACCTCGTTAGTCTCATTTGGTTTTACGGGGCTGTCCACTCCCAGGCTGAACAGTGAACCTTGGAGGTAACTTCACCACTGAGCTGAAAGGGTGTCTGGGGGCCATAGTCTCGGGGTTTCTTCAGTCTCCTTTAGGCCAGTAAATCTGGTCTTTTTTTTGTGAGTTAGAATTATGCTCTACATTGTTCTCCAGCTCTGTCCAGAACCCTCTGTTGTGATCCTGGTCAGAGCAGTCAGTGGTGGTAGCCGGGTACCATCTAGCTGTACTGGACTCAGTCGGGTGGAGGCCTTGGTAGCTGTGGACAATTAGTCCTTTGGACTAATCTTTTCCTCCTGTTATAAGGCTTTTGTCCACCTGTTTCCTTCTGCCTGGACTGTCCTTCTTAATCAATCGCTTTGCTAACTCCTGTCCCAGGTTAGATGTCACCTCCCTCAGAAAGCCTTCCATGATGCCCCAAATCCTTTCCTGGGCTCCATCCGTCATGCCTTATATCCTACTGTTTTATAACTGCTTCCCTGCCCATTGCCTGCTTTGAGAGACATCTTGGCTAATGATTGGGGAAACACCCTTCTAACCAGGCCCTAAAGTTACTGGTTTTTAGAAAAGGCCGGGTAAGTGAAAGGTTGAGCAGATACCAGCTGGAAGGATTTTTTTCTCCTCAGAAAACATTCAGTAATGATTGCATATTGTCCACGCTAGTTTCTCAGTCATCTATTGATGAACTTGCTTTCAAGTTTTTCGGGCATCTGAGCAGTAAAGATGCCACCGTCCCATCTCAGGGCCAGTTACTCCTTCCCTCCCTGGGCAAGCAACCAGCCTTGTCCGCCACAGTCCACTCTTCCCCATAGCCAAACACGAGTGAGGTCACGTCACATCTCTCCCCTTTAAAGCCCTCTCCTGGCTCCCTGGTGCATCAGGTAACCCAGCTCCTCCCCACGCCCATGTCCTTCCTGGTGGTAGCATTCCAGTTACAGCTTTTCCTCCCTGGTCTGGGACACTGAGCAGCAGTCCTCCTCTAGTCTCTGTTCTACAGAATAGCAAACAAGCATTCTCATCTCATAAAGCATGATATAAAGATTTTATGGAACATCGCATGTTTTTGTAGCTGACAAGGTATTACACATATCCCCCAAGCACCCAACACTTCTGCTCCTTACTGTGTTCTACTTTTCTTCATAGAATTCATCACCAGTTGACATATTTTTGTTCATTTGTGGTCTCTCCTTCCCTACTTGAGTGTAAACTCTCCAGAATGAGGAACTTTTGCCTGTTGTGTCCACTGCTGGGTCCCCAGGGCCTATAACATTGCCAGGCACACAGCAAGTACTCAGGAAACATAGTGGAATGGTGCTCTCCCTGCTCTCCTCATGACAGTTCACCATGGCTGACTTGTTCACATGGCAGGTGGCCAAAGTCGTCACCTGCACTCTCCCACTCCAGACTGTGGGCTCTGCAGGGGCAGCCGCTGCTGTGTCCACAGTCTCCCTGGCAGTGATCCCAGGGCTGAGCAGAGAGGTGCCAGCAGATGCTGATGTGTTTTCTCCACAGGCACAGCCGCTTCCTGCCTCCTGAGGACTCTTGGCTGCAGGAAAGCTGGACACGAGTAACTGACCACACTTGATGCCCCTACCCCCCCACACAGAGTGGCCTGGTGGAGTCCTGGTTGCAGCCGCGCCCTGGACGTGGGCCTGGCATCACTGGATATTAGTTTTTCCAACAAATAAAGACTTTGTGTACCAGCTTTGCTTTCTGCCTTTAGCACCTGAAGGGGCCCTAGGAAAGCTAGCTGAGAAGAAACCCAGGTCCTCTTTTCCCCAGCTTCACCTGATGTGCTAAGGAAGGGTTGGGAAGGGGCAACATGCTCCTGTTCACCAGGGTTAAGACACCCCCCTCTTCTCTTGTTAACCCTGCCAAACAAGGATTTCCTCCCTCCAGCTGCATCCACGTGGGCAAAGGTCCTTTCACCTTTCTACCCTGTTGTTTTGTTGTTGGGTGCCGCCAAGTCAATTCTGACTCATAGCGGCCCCATGGCATTCGCCGAATCTTTATTAAGTATTTACTTGGTGCTTGGGGGTGGACAATATATAACACACCTCTTTCCCTTCTTAGTTCAAAACCAGTTAAAAAACAGACATGGGCATTAGGCAGACGGGGATGAAGATACCGGCTTTATTATTGAAAGCAGCTGGATTGTAGGATGTGACTTAGACATCTGCTACACTGGGTTTCTGTCTTGGCTTGCGTTCCTCCAGAAGCCAACTCTGAGAATTTGAGTACAGATAGTATATTTGGGAAGTGATTTCAGAAACGCTGGTGACAGAGAAGTGAGACAGAGGAAGGCAGCCAATCAAAGGTGCATTATTAAGGCGGTTACCACTGTGTAACTGGGGCTCATCTGAAAGCTGGGGTGTTCACCAACCAGCTCCCCATCTGTCACTGAGGGTTGTTTTCAGGGGCATTGTCCTTGCCTGCCCCAAATGCAGGCCAGGTGTGCTGCTGTCACTAGAAAAGAGCCCTGAACAGAGTAGCAGGGGATCAGGTAAGCCACATTCAGCATCTAGAAGAGAGTGCTGTGTGGATCTTAACAGGCACCAACAGTGGCTGCTGCAGCTTCTTGATGTTTCACAGGATTACAGGTTCTGTGGACACAGGTGACTGATAGCAGGCTCCCCAGGAGGGGCAGGTCCTGAAGGACAGTAGACAGCTATGCAAGAGAGAGATCCTGGAGGTCCAGGCTGAGTGAGCGAGCGTGCCCAGGCCCTGCGCTCAGATTCCTCATTCAGACAAATCGCTCTTCCCTTGACGTAACCCCCAATCCCTGGAAATTGGAGGTGCTTGTCAGAACTGATGGAATTAGCCATTTGAAACCTAAGGCTTGGAAAAATGAGCCTGGTCAATTGGAATATCCCCTGGGGATTTGACCACCAAGACACAGAAGTTGTTCATTGGCCCTAAGAACCAGGGTGGAAGTCCTGCATAGCCTCGGTTGCAGGAGCCGTCAGATAACACGTGGCTGAGATAAGAGAACATCCAGGTAGTGGAGAGATGATCATGATCAATTCCTATGGTCCCTGAAAAAGCTGCCTGGGTTCTGGTGGCTTTCTCTTCCTGGCTCCAGTTTCCTTGGGCTGTAGTTTGAACTCTAAATTTCTGTGTATATTTTTAGCCAAGCCCCTTTGCTTGAGTTGGCTTTAAATGAGTTTCTGCTCCATGCAACTTGAAGTTTGATTAGAAGGGACTGTATGCGTGACCACGGAATGGAGATGGAGACTATAATTTAGAACATCTCCTCTGTGGCCTCTCTTCCAATAGGCTAGACCAGCTTCCTCATGGTGGTCTCGATTCCAAGAGTGAAATGGAAACCTCAAGGACTCGCAAGTTTTTATAACACTTTTACCACATTCTGTTGGTCTAAGCAAGTTATGAGGCCAATACAGATTAAAGGGGTAGGGAGACATACTCCACTTCCTGAAGGGAGAGATTGCAAAGATTTTGTGGCCATATTTAAACAACCACAAAAGCTATTCATATTTTCTATTTTTTCTTGTGTCAGTTTTGGTAAGTTGTATTTTTCTAGAAATTTCTCACATCATCTAAATTGCCATAAATTTGCTCTTAATACCTTCATATTATCTTTTTTTTAGATTGTAGAATATGTAGTGATTGCCCCCTTTTCATTTCTGACATTGGTTATTTGTGCCTTCTTTTTTTATTGGCCAGTCTTTTTTATTGTACTTTAAGTGAAAGTTTACAATTCAACTTGGTCTGTCATACAAAAATTTATATATACATTGGTATGTGACCCTAATTGCTCTCCCTATACTGTGACAGCACACTCCTCCTTTCCACCACTGATTTCTCATGTCTATTTAACCAGTTCCTGACCCTCTCTGCCTTCTCATCTCACCTCCAGACAGGAGCTGCCTATTTAGTCTCATGTATCTACTTGAGCTAAGAAGCACATTCTTCATGAGTATCATTTTATGTCCCATAGTCCAGTCTCATCTTTGTCTGAAGACTTGGCCTCGAGAATGGTTTTAGTTCTGGGTTGACAGTTTGACCAATCTACTTTTGATCTTGTTGATGTGCTCTATTGTATATTTAATAAGCAACATCATGATAACTGGAGAAAAGACTGAAGTTGTCAAGGATTTCCTTTTACTTGGATCGACAGTCAATGCCCATGGAAGCAGCAGTCAAGAAATCAAGTGACGCATTGCACTGGGAAAATCTGCTGCAAAAGACTTCTTTAAAGTATTAGAAAGCAAAGATGTCACCTTGAGGACTAAGATGCGCCATGGTATTTTCAGTTGTCTCCTATGCATGTGAAAGCTGAACAATGAATAAGGAAGACCAAAGAAGAATTGATGTCTTTGAATTACCGTGTTGGTGAAGAATATTGAATACACCATGGGCTGCCAGAAGAACAAACAATCTGTCTTGGAAGAAGTACAGCCAGAATGCTCCTTAGAAGTGAGAATGGCGAGACTTAGTCTCACATACTTTGGACATGTTGTCAGAAGGGACCAGTCCCTAGAGAAGGACATTGTCTTAGGCTGGGTTCTCTAGAGAAGCAAAACCAGAAAAGCGTATAAGTATATATATATATATATAAAAACCAAACCTGTTGCCGTCAAGTCGATTCCGACTCATAGCAACCCTATAGCACAGAGTGGAACTGCCCCATATGGTATCCAAGGAACGCCTGGTGGATTCGAACTGCCAACCTTTTGGTTAGCAGCTGTAGCTCTTAACCACTCTGCCGCCAGGGTTTCCAAGTATGTATATATAGAGATTTATATCAAGGAAATGGCTCACACAGTTGTAGAGGCTGGAATGTCCCAAGTCCATGGGTCAGGATAGAGACTCCTGATTCATGTAGCTGCAGGGTCTGGCAAACCCAAAATTGGCAGGTCAGAGAGCAGGGCTTTTGCCCACAGCCTGCAAAGATCGACAAATCCCAAGGCTGGCAGGCAAGACTGCAGGTAAGCTGCTAGCTCAAGTCCCAAGAACCAGAGGTCAGATGAACAGGAGCCTGCTGCAGGATCCAGAGCAAGCAGAAGCCCACGAGCCTTGCCAGGATGTTCACTTACATTGGATGCAGGCCACACACCCAAGGAAACTACCTTTCAACTGATTGGCTACTCACAGCATCATATAGGTGATAGAGGTGATCATATTATTTCAGATCCCATGGAAGTGATCACGACATTATACAACCGCCAAAACACTGAGAATCATGGCCCAACCAAGTTGACACACAACCTTAACCATCACAGACATCATGCTTGGTAAAGCAGAGGGTCAGTGAAACAGCAGAAGACCCCCAATGAGATGGATTGACACAGTGGCTGCAACAATGGGCTCAAACATAGCAGGCTCAAATGGGATGGCGCAGGACCGGGCAGCATTTTGTTCTGTTGTATAGAGAGTCACTGTGAGTGGAAACTGACTCAAAGTCACCTAACAACAATTGTATCTTTGTTTTTAATTCAATTAACTTCTCTTTTTTTTATTTCCTTATTTCTTTCCCAAGAGGGAACATTTTTTGTTGTTGTTGCCATGACTGGATTGTAGAAAGCATTCTTGTTGGCAAGACTTGACAGAATCAGCCCTTCACAGTAAGGGGCCAACACATCTATGTTTTCCCTTTTGTTTGCCCACACGGCATCTTAATTGCAATCTATGAATCAAGAAATGTAATTTTACTCAATTTCATAGAGTGTGTTTGTTCATGTGGTATGCTCAAACTAATGCAGGGGGCTCTATTTTCTATTGATTTTTTGGGGGGAGACAAGCAAACATTAAAACCTCTTTTGATTGATTTAGAAGTACTTGCCTGTCTCATCCCTGACTTGTAAGATTCAGTCTTCACGTGTGTTTTCATATCGCCTTCTCCACCGTGCCCAATCCCAAATTCTTTTTTGCATTTTGTGCAGTATGCTCTGTTTTGGTTGTTTATTTCCCTAATCTAGTTGTGTGTGTCCTTCCATCTGTCATTAAAATAACCGTCATTTAGTCTTGCAGTTACATCTGGGTCATACTGGTGTTTCTGTTGTAATCATTCTCATTTTTATTATCTGAACTCTCAGAAAACATGGTCACAATATTCACAATATTAAAAATTAAGCTAGTACTGTTTTGATACACAGTACAACAGTTATTCTACAAAGACAGACTGTTAACACAATTACAATGTGCTTAAGTTGCACATTTAAGTTGCATCACTCAGAGTGATGCCACAATGGATGATTCATTGTTGTGAGCCACAAATTATGGCTGCCAACCTCATCTGTCTGCGGAAAAGGCAGCAACAGTGACTAAGGGAAGCAGTCAAATTCTAAAACTTAATCTCTACTGTGATTTTTCTCCCAAACTCCAGATGTGTATCCAACTGCCTACCCAGCATCTCTATTTTGATGTCTTAAAGCATCTCCATCTCATCATGTTCGGAGCTGGGCTTCTGATCCTGCTCCTAAACCTGCTTCACCCTCAACCTTCCCTGACTCAGGCGTTTGCATTCTTCCAGCTGCTCACACCAAAGACTCTTTTCTCTTACAGCCAATATCCAGTGCACTAGGATATCCTGTTGCCTCCATCTTCAAATACTTTCATAATCCATCTACCTTGCACAAGCCACCATCACTCTCACCTGGGTTTCTGCCACAGCCTCCTCCCTGCTCCCCCAGTTTCTGCCTTGTCCCTGCTCCCCGATGTGTTTGCAGTACAATAGCC